GTGCGGACGCAGGGGCACCTAGCGTGGTGGGACATCTTCACTTCCCACCCACTTTTACCCATTGCCCTCCCAACATGGCTTTATGGTGAAGTGACATCCTTCCACTTTTGCGTATTGGGGACTGAGGGCCAAAGAAAGCATTTCACTGATGTGTCACAGGAAATTTGTGGCTTAGCAAGGTCTCCGGCTCATGAACCACCTTCACTGGTAGATCCTTCATCTGCAAAGGACTGTCCCTTTTTATGGACCTGGAGCACCTCATCCATAGACATATATGCTGAAAAGAAGGGGTGCAAACCTGCTATATGAGCGTTTCCCCAGGGACAGTCATTAGGAAGACTTGCATTTAGACAGACCGCTTCTGCAATGTTAGCTGCTGTGGCCAGCGGTGGCTCTTGGAGGGTCCTTGTCTCTAAAAAGGGCTCCCAGGGGACACTGGAGGAAGAGACATGGCACCCCAGTGATTCCCGAAACAGGGATGGTCTCTTCTCCTCTGCCTGTCTTCTCACCTCAACTGAAGAGAAAGTGTCACACTTCTTCCTGCTGCAGTAGAGGTATATTTTCCACAGCTTGTTCTCCTGCATCTACCTCTTCGTAGCACAAGAGAAGAGATGACACATGGACAGAAGACACTTGGGAAAGGATATATGAGCAGTCAGTGCTGTGAGAGGGGGCTGGAAACAGGGAAAAAGGCGCTACAGGGAAAAAGAGTTCAGAAAGAAGAGGCAGGACCAAAGAAGACAAAAAGCAAGAATGAAGGGAAAAAACTCTTCCCTGCCATTTAAATGTGAGGAGACACTGAGACTGCAGATTGCAGAGACTGTGTGGCCGGTACATGCTCCTTTGAGGATGTCCCTGTCTGCAGCTGAGGCACCCACAGCTCTTCCAACAAGGCATGAATGGGACCCGGCTCCTGTCTGGCAGGTGGCAGCAGCCCCTGCCTGATGGGGATGGTGAGCAGAGGCACAAACACCGGTCCAGAGCCTGGTGGGTTACTGAAATCCTTTCCGGGTTTGATCCTTTTCTTGCCCCAGTTGGGAGTGGTGGGTCAGACACTCTTCTGCTCACCCAGACCCTGTGGCCATGCTGGAAGATGTGAGCCCCACCATCCACTGTCTTGCTGGGGTCAAGCACTGTCTCGTTCTCCCCACAGAGCCTGCCCAGAGGCCGCTGCATTTGGGGTATGAGCTGGGCAGGCTGTGAAGCTCCTTTCAGTGCCCTGTGGGGCTCCTTTGTCTCCTAATTGGGAATCTTCTCCATCAAAGCGCTAGGAAGAACCCCGGCCTCTCATTCCCTAACACTTGGTGCCCAGCACCCTGTATCCCCACTCTGGGGGGAAATGAGAAATCCCTGCCCCATCGCCTCTTTCCCATGGGATCCACAGGAACCAGCCACCTGAAGGGAAGGCAAATAAACACCATTTTCTGGCCATTTTCTATAGCATTCTTCCTCCTTGCCCCAAGCTGGAGGTTGGTTGCAGCCAGGGGAACAAGCAGGGCAATGTTTGGCAGCAGTGGCTGTCGCCCTGTGGGACAGGAGACCAACCCTCCCCTCCCTCCAGTTCTCCCACTCCTCATATGCAGGGTCCCTGCAGCTTGAGAATGACCCTTGCTGGCTGGGGGAAGATGCCATGAGCTCTGCAGCATCATTGACTCTGCATCTAGTGGGCCATGGACAACTTTGTACGAAGCGACCTTGCCCTGTTCGTTTTCGCTGGTTATCTGTCTGCCAGACAGAGGGTGAGCTGCCAAACTGCCCCCGTCCGTGCTGCGAGACTCTTTCTCACCACAACCACAACCGGGGTCTCTCTTGGTGGGAGAAGTCATCCCATATTGCAAGACTTGAGGTTCACCAGCTGCTGCTTTGGTCGAGGAAGCAGGGCCTCAATGCTGTTTTGCTTGGGTTTTGCATTGGGTTTTCTCGGCATCCAAGAGAAAGGCACCCACATTCCTCTCTTCCAAAGGGAAAAAGGCATCATGTGAAGAAGAGTATCTGAGCCCATCTTTTTTCTGGAGTAGGTAATGCTGAAGAGAAGAAAAGTAGGAGATGATCCCTTGAGAGGTTTTTTTGAGGGATGCAAGAGGCACCTTTAAGTATCTCTGCCTCCTTGATGCCAATGGCATGCAGCCGTTCCCCCTTACAGCTCTGTTCAGTAAAGACTTTACACTGGGCTCTAGTGAGGTTTTCCCTGCAGCCACCCTGTGGTTTCAGAGCTTTATTTACTCCAGACAACAGCAGGTGTGCAGGGAAACGGCCCTGCGCTGTCAGCCAGGTCTGCAAGGGCAGCAGCCAGCCCTGCACGTTTGTTCTGAGGGCTTTAGCTCAGGTGCTCAGCACCATCCTTGGGACTGGTTCCCTTATGCTTCACGTGGTGCCAGCCAGTGGCTTTGCTGGGTCTTTCTAACACAAAGTTTCTGGAGAGTGAATATGTGTTACAGGAGTTGAAAATGTTCTTGAAATCCCTTGAAGCTGGTTCCCTGGGTCACATCCATTCATCTCTTTGCATTTTCTGACTTAGCACTGAAGCATCTTCAGGTTGGCTCTCCAGCAAGGAGCTGGGGCAGGAGCTAGGTTTATCTCATTGCTAACTCAGGAGGACCTGAGAGAATCATCAGATTTTTCGTGTGTGACCTCTCATGATTACAGGGTTGGTGTTGGTCTATACCAGCCCTGGTGACAAAGGAAACTGAAGAAGACAACTACCAGAGGCATCTGGGAAGGAAAGCGAGCTAGAAAATGGAAGATGTGATGGAGAACATCCTAAGCCATTGAGTGCTGAGATCCTCTATGTGTCCCACTGCACGAGCAGCAAGAATGAGGGTGAGTGAGTGTGAGAGAGTCCTTCTCATCAGGAGACCTCCCTTTCCTCGTGAAAGACCCCACAGGCCTTCAAGAGCAATTCAGCATGTCGGAGGAAGCAGAGCCTGCTTGTCTTGGCAAGACCCCAAAGAGACGAACATGTTGTGACAAGCCCATTCCTAGGGTGCAAAAGTCCTAAGAAGGTTCAAACTGGTATCCACTGTCTAGCAGCGTGGTATTTTCCCTGGACCTGATGTCCTCCACCCTCAGGACACCCCTGACCTCCTGCACCCCCTTCCCCACCCCGCAGACTCAGGTCTGAATGAGGATGCCCTTTTGGCAGTGTCTTGACCCCAGGATCCCGGGCTAACTTGTTGCAGCACAGCAGGGTCCCCGAGAGACTCTGTGACGGGGACCAGGGACTCATTTGGCACATGGCGGGCACCAGACCCCGCAGGAGCAACCGTACTAGCCGGGGGAATGAGGGGGATCCCAGTCCTGGGGTGCACACCCATCTTCCCAAACCACCCCAGACCCCTTCCAGCACCCCACCACCCCAAAACCCCCGGGGTTGAATCCTTCAGCACCATCTCTGGGGCGTCCACGCCGCCGAGAGCAGCCCAACGCCTGCAGCTCTCG